GTGTGGTGTCCTCGGGGTTCCTTCCCACACATCAGGATTTCTGATGTGTCTTATTTACGATTTGCGCCTCCGACGTTCTTCCGAGCAGATTCAGTCACTCTTAACACACCTCACACCACAGGAAAATCTGATAAAATAATCTTCAGAACCACCAAGATAATCGGGACATTATAATGTCGGAAGGGGAGAAATCGGCCCGATTATTTTATGGTGTGTACCCAGCATTAAAGTGGAATTTTCCTGATGAGATTCGGTGGGTGGTAGATAGGCCAATGGTTCAATTAATCCCCTTAAAACTGCAACCCTGGCAGGACTCGAACCTGCAATCTTCTGATCCAAAGTCAGATGCCTTAGCCATTAGGCCACGAGGCCGGTGTTGCCTAACCTATCGCTAAGATTCAGTCACTCTTAACACACCTCACACCACAGGAAAATCTGATAAAATAATCTTCAGAACCACCAAGATAATCGGGACATTATAATGTCGGAAGGGGAGAAATCGGCCCGATTATTTTATGGTGTGTACCCAGCATTAAAGTGGAATTTTCCTGATGAGATTCGGTGGGTGGTAGATAGGCCAATGGTTCAATTAATCCCCTTAAAACTGCAACCCTGGCAGGACTCGAACCTGCAATCTTCTGATCCAAAGTCAGATGCCTTAGCCATTAGGCCACGAGTCCGGTGTTGCCTAACCTATCGAATCAACGAATCGTTAGCAATCGAGTCAAATCTTTTTAAACCGGGATGAACGATTCGTCCAGAAATCGATTAGGGATGAGCTTCCCAAAAGCGTCATTACCCATCTATGATCGCAGTAACTTGCGACAGCTGCTTTTGAGAAAAGCACCCTAGAGCAGGTTTTAAAGGGGTCATATGATGCTTTTTTAAAGATCATTATTTTGTGTATTTGGTATAACAGAATATGTTGACATGCTTTAATGTTCAAAAAACACATTATTTTTCAAATACTGTACATTATTGTAGGTCCTCTATGCCCTGCCTCTCTCAAACCCTTCGTTTTCTATAAAGTCCCTCCTTCCGACAAGCGCAGTCTGCTCTGATTGGCCAGCTGACCCAGTGCATTGTGATCGCGAGCTTCATCTTTCAAAATAAATGTAAAAAGAGTTTGCTTTGAGACCGATCATTTATTTATTACCATGAATGTGGCCCAGAAGAATCTGAAGGATAATTAAATGTGCACTGCAAAATATAGATTACTATAGGATGCTGATTCTTGGATGTTGATTCTGCTTATTAAAAAGACAGATTGAATGATTTTATATAGCTAGACCTTGAATGCAAAATAAAGCAGCTGCCATTCTAATGTATCAATCAATAATCCAAATAAAGCCATGAAGATTCATTAAACAGCATTAAAATGTTACATCTGGATTCATAGTATGATCATGTTCAAATTCTCCAGTAGGGAAAAATACATCAGCATTGACATTCAGAAATGACAAGTTTCACTTATGGGAATATAACATTTGCATAATTTCCCCTGGCTGTAGAGTTGCCTCTATCATCTTTAATGGACAGAGGGTGATGCCAAGCTGCCACTCATCCAGACCTTTGGGATGGTTGATGCTGGGTCAGTTTGCTAACTATGGATCGTTTGCAGAATCTTTGAAAAGTGAAAGACTTGGTTAGTTTTAAATCCATTAGGTTATCTGTTTGCTGAAATAATAACACTCATCCACATTAGCTATATATTCAGAATTATTCCCTTGAATAAAAGTATCACATTATGAAACTTTATCAGTTATCTGCTCAGGAAGCAACTGGATTGGTATATTTTCTGAAGAAAATTTGAATGGTGCTTGCTTCCTTATGCAAAATGTTAGAGTTTCTGGGAGTTATACTCTTACTGCCAAAGTAGTAACTAAGTTGTTACTATAGTGTTCTAGCTGGTTTCTCTGGTGATGCAAGGTGTTTCTTACAGACTCAAAACAAATGTGTGAATACGATGTTTTGAGCGTGTAAGTTCATGCACTTCCTAAGTTCAGCTATCTTGCTGTTACGTTTACATTCACATTTATATTTAGCACACACTTTTATCCAAAGCAACTTACGTTGCATTCAAAGTATACAGTTTATCAGTTCATGCATTCCCTGGGAACGTGCTGTTACTAGTACATTGCTTGCCCTACTGTTTGAACTACAGGAACACTATTTCTTAACTTTGCCTGATAGGATAGACTGCCTTGGAAAACATTGAGGTGTCGGAGCATGAATGCATTGGTTTTTCTAATGCAATGTGTATGTTCAGTGTATGTTCTGGAGTAAGCTGAAACTACAAAGCAGGACAAGTGAACAAAGTGCATGGCATTATCATTTGTTGTTTAACAAATATTGCTAAGTTAAAAAAAAGCAGATATAACTATAAGATGTAGTTATATCAACTGCAAAAAAAATGTAAAGTAATAGTTCACCAATAAATTACAAATTGTTGCAAATACTCACCCCTCAGGCTATAGACGACTTTTTGTCTTCATCTGAACAGATTTGGAGAAATTAAGCATTTCATCATTCGCTCACCAATGGATGCTCTGTAGTGAATGGGTGCCGTCAGAATGAGAGTCCAAACAGCTGATAAAAACATCACAATAATCCACAAGTTGTCCACATGACACATGTTTTTATCAGCTGTTCATCACGCCTAATTGTGTGTAGAAAAACAATTCTTAATATAAATTAAATATTTTATAGTAAATTATCAAAATATTTGTTATATTTGTTTTGGCTTAAGTGTCACAGAAGGTGCATTATTTAATTTTGTAAACAAGTTGTACTACACTTCTCACACGGTATAAATGAGTCTTGAAATGAAAATAAATAGCTGCCTTTATATTGTAAATAGGGGTCACTCACAAAAGTATATTCAATTCTGGGATTCATTGGTATCAAAAACTTTTAAAACCCTTGTCCAAAACCCGTTGGCTCTGGGATAAGCATATAATATTTTTTTTGCTGAAGTTTTATAGACCAATAGAGTCTTTGCTTGTTCAATTAAATTGGCTTTTCTGGATTAAAAAAGAAAGCAAATGGAAACAGTGTTAGGTTAACTGGGGTTAAATTTATTCTTTGGGAATAAAAGAATCTTCATTCCGTACAGCCAAAGATTTTGCATTGTGCTCTCTTTTTATAAATGGATGATTGATTCCAAGCTTTGTTTTTTAGGGGCAGTCATTCACTTTAATTTGAAATGGGATTTGGTGTCTAACAAAAAACAAACAGGAGAGGAAAAAGTGCAGAGGAAATATCAATTCTAACATCGTCAAAGGATGTTTAATCCTCTCAGACATGACAAAGCACCGTGACAGAGATGTGAGACGTGAACGAGGACAAAACATGCTGATCAGCTAATTGTTGTACATCCTCTCAATAACCTCACCTGATCTCATACAGCTGAGCTCAGCGCTTGAGGTCTTTAAAGGGAGGGAAGGTTCGTACTCGCACCCATTTATTGCTTTCCCGGCTCCATTTAGATGTCTCTGAAGACCTCTGAGCCCCCATTTTAACCTTCAATTATAAATTAAGCTGTTGAGGTAAAACGTGTTTATGGGCTAAATGTGGCCAATTTAATTTGAAATGGGATTTGGGTCGAAATGTCTTAGCAGCAAACATGCATAATGTTCTTTATTCTCACCGTTATTAGGTTAGACACTAACGTCTTGAGGTGCAGAGAGCACTGTACGTATACCTGAACTAATAAAACTAGAACAATATGCCAATATCTGGATTAATGGCAGACTTGAGATACAGTGCTTATAAAATACTTTTTCATGTTTAGTGGCTTTACAGCAATGAATCACACTGGACTTCTTTAGGCTTTTTTGACACTCATCAACAGAAAAAGTCTATAAAGGCATTTCAAATAATACTGAGTATAAAATCCAAACTAATTCATTTCATAAGTATTCATTAAATGACACGTAAATAAATCTAATTAATAGTTAAAATTACTTGTGTGCAGTCAGAGAGTTTCAGCTGATTGTATAAAAGCAACTCTATCTGGGAGCTCCAACTTCTGGTGAGTCAATATTGTGGCAGAACTTACATCAAGTCCAAAAAAAACCCCTCCAAGCAATTCAGCGGAAAAGTAATTGAAAAGTACAAGTCAGGGAACAGCTACAAGAAGACTTCAAGAAGTCATTGAATATCCCTTGGAGTATAGTTAAATCAATAATTAAGAAATGGAAAGAGCATGGCAGTGCTGTAAATCTACCTAGAGCTGGCTGTCCTCAAAAAACAGAGTGACCGTGGAGGACACTAGTGACTAGTGAGGGAGGTCACCAAGACCAGCTGGAAGAGATGTTTCTGTCATCTGAAGAGACCAAAATAAAGCTTTTTATCCATCAAACTAAACACACGTCAGCCAAATACAACATGTCTTTTGTGAAGCATGGTGATGGCATGATGTTGGGATGCTTCTCTAGAGCAAGACCTTGAAGGCATGTGAGGGTATGAAAAGTGCAAAATACAAGAAAACCACAAGACTCCTATGACTTAAGACGATATTTGTTTTGCTGAAAGAAGCATGCCATTTTGAAAGAAGAATGGAGAAACACTGCCGTTGCCAGTGAAACCAAATGCAAGTCTGAAATGGCTGTCATCCACTTGATGGGGGTGAATACTTATGGAAATGATTGTTTAATGTTCATTAAATGTACATTTTCACTGACACGAAAGAATATTCCTAGTCTAGAGCTAAATAGATGTTGTTAATGTTCATGTACTGGTGTAGCAAAATCAGTCAATCCAATTTATGGACGGACTTGAAAAGTGCAGAAAGAAACATGCAGTTTGCAGTTTTGAAAGACGAATGGAGAAGCATTGCAGTCACCAGTGACCCACAAACTGCTGCTACTTAATTGGGGTGAATGCAAAGCAGAATTAAATATGAAAAGTACTTTTTTATAAGGAGTGTACCGCTTCAGCGTACAAAGAAAAGCTCTTCCATGGACACTTAATCTCACAAAAACGGTCAAGAAATATCTAATATTTATTGTCATATTTTACCCCCCAAACAAAACAAGAAATAATTTTTGGATAAAGAAAGTAAAGCCTATTTTTAGGACCATTGAGGTTTTTCAAAGAAGTCCTATATCACTTAGCCTTACAAAAACTGGCCTTTCTTAAGTTTGTGTTCTTTAAAAAAAAGTATCCCACTGCAAAGCCCACAGCTGTACTATTTATGAAGAATTTTGAAACTAATTTCTCCTCCAAATCCCAAAACGCTGGCAGAAATGACTGTCTACAATCTACATAATCAAGGTGCCTAAATAATTCATAGTATTACTAATCCTAATTTCCACCAGCACAGCACAAAAGTCAATGACTATTTGACAACTGAGCAAGAGAGAGAGACATAAAAGTGCATAAGAGAAACCCCAAGTACAAGGCATTTAAATTTGACAAGACAAAAATATACTTGCCAAAAGCATAATTGGATATCCTTTGTGTTTCAATGAAGGGGGTTAAAGTTCCCCTTGGATGGTCTGTCCTCCATTCTTTGTCCATCTACTGCCCTCAAGTGGTGGTTTTTAAAGGACAACATACATACACTGATAAAGAAGTGACAGTGAAGTAGAGGAATAACAAACAATATAACTACCACCCTGCTGGGAAAATTATTTCATGCTACATTTTACAAAATACTTAAAAAAAAAAAAAAGATGAGATTGATGAAATATTTAATTTTTCTTATAGAACACAATTGAAGAAGATACTTTGCATGTTTGTGAAAGTTAAGTCCGCCTCATGCGAGCTGGGTGCACACTCATTGGACAGCGACCGTCCGATAACAAAATTGTATAAAGACGGTATCCTGGACAAAGAAAGATTCAGATGTTCTGCAGTTATCTCTGCTTTGTTGTCTTCTTGCAATAAAGTCGAATTTTGACTTCTGGAACTCTGCCTCCTGAGCATTATTTTGCAAGACAAAGACTTTTCTCCACTTGTTGATCACATGCTATGAAGTCAAAACCCGACCTTTTTAATATTGCATTAATCGTCATATAGGTTTCCAGTTACAAGCAGGATAAATATACAAATACATGACAGATGACAATAGAGTGTATCTATACGACAACCTGAACATCATTTATATTGCCATCATATGATGGAATAGGGTCCAAACTCATGGAATCATAGTCCAAAAATATGAAAAGCATAAACTCGCGGTCTGTTTTCCAACATATTCATGTCTTCCCATATTACAGAGCCATAATGAAGCGTCTGACTTGTTTTAGGTACTCTGGCTTCAGGAAGTCCTGGAGTTCATCCTTTTTTACCCAGGCAAATGAATTCTTCTCCAGAGGTAAGTGCTTATGGCTGGATAGCACCGCTTTGAAAAAGAACACCTTGGCTCCAACACTGCCCTCTTTCTGAATGTCCTTTGGGTATTTATATTTGTAAAATCCACAGGGTGCATTGCCAAGGAAAGTGGCCTTTAGATCAGCACCTACAGAGGACAAATTAAACAGAAGCTTAATAATTTAACCAGCAGCCCATTCGATTTGGCACTGAATTTTTCTTTAACCAGAAAATGTAATCATGTTTCATTTACATTTTTCTTGCCCTGCTTGTGATTCAGTGTTAAAACTGTAATCCTTAATTGTCAGCTTATTAAAAATGTTTGATTATCAGCTCCTTCTTAAAAGCTGACATAAACTCTCCAGTTAAAACTGACCAACCTGAATCTGTCTAAATGACTAGTACAATATAAGCATCAGGATCAGACAGAGCTTTATTGCCAAGTATGTTTGCACACAAAAGGATTTTATTTTGGTGACAATAAGCTTCCAATACACAGAGACAACAACACAGATAATAAAAAATTAAGATATGTGAATAAAATACACATGTATAAATAAACAAAATAGACAAATTTGTATGTACCTGGAAGACTTGCAAGAGCACGTTCGGCCGTCTGTCGAAGTGTCTCTCCCGTCTGCCACTGTATCTGAGGCAGGAGCCAAAGCTTTTGACTGCCAACATCCTTCTTCACCAGCAAGATCAGGCTTTCTGCTAAACAACGCTCTGAAGAACTCACGCCTTTCTCGTCAACACCTGTAATTTGTGTACATTCAACATGTTTTATAACTCTGAAATGTCTTAAAAAACACGGCTTGCATCAAAACAATGATTTAATCAGATTTTTTTTAAAGACACTATCCCTGCCGATATAATGCTTACCTTGTGACCTCGGAGCTGGTTGATATTGCTTCAGTTTTTGTTCCCAAATATCTTCCAGATCTTGGGCTGTGAAAATTTCTTTGTCTCTATAATCCTCCTCCTCTTCATCTGAATCCTCTTCTTGTTTTCGGGTCATCCGTGCAGCGTCCTCAAGGAGCCTCAGGTCATGGTCCGAAAGCAGACTTCTCTCTAACTCCATCTGAAACAGTAAGTTATGCTGGTTATAGGTGGCTCATGGCGAGCAGATTAATGGATGGACAGCATTATAAGGATAGGCTTGAAGGGCAGAGCACAATATTAAGATACAGATGCATCTCAATAAATTAGAATGTCATGGAAAAGTTCATTTATTTCAGTAATTCAACTCAAATTGTGAAACTCGTGTATTAAATCAATTCAATGCACACAGACTGAAGTAGTTTAAGTCTTTGGTTCTTTTAATTGTGATGATTTTGGCTCACATTTAACAAATACCCACCAACTCTCAACAAATTAGAATACTTTATAAGACCAATAAAAAAAATATTTTTTAGTGAATTGTTGGCCTTCTGGAAAGTATGTTCATTTACTGTACATGTACTCAATACATGGTAAGGGATCCTTTTGCTTTCTTTGGCAATGAATGTTTGTGGCTTACCCTCCTTGTGAAGGGTGTCAATGATTGTCTTCTGGATAACTGTCAGATCAGCAGTCTTCCCCATGATTGTGTAGCCTAGTGAACCAAACTGAGAGACCATTTTGAAGGCTCAGGAAACCTATACAGGTGTTTTGAGTTGATTAGCTGATTGGCATGTCACCATATTCTAATTTGTTGAGATTAGAATATGGTCCACAAAACCAATCTTAAGTAGCATGGTGTCATATGATGTCAAAAATACATCATATGGGTCAAAATGATTGATATTTCTTTTATGCCAAAAATCATTAGGATAATGATATCATGTTCCATGAAGATATTTGGTAAATTTCCTACTGTAAATATATCAAAACTTAATTTTTGATTAGTAATATGCATTGCTAAGGACTTCATTTGGACAGCTTTAAAGGCGATTTTCTCAATATTTTATTGATTTATTTATTTTCTGCACCCTCAGTCGACTCGGCCAAATATCGGCCTATCCAAACAAATCATACATCAATAGAAAGCTTATTTATTCAGAAAAATGTCGAAAAATTAACCCCTATGACAGGTTTTGTGGTCCATGGTCACATTATATATTTCATGTCAAATATTGATTCTTTCATACCTGGTGCATTAGCTTCATGAACTCCTCCTCAATAGGGCTCCTATCTTGAGAGACCACAGGCAGCCGCTGCAGACAAACGGCTCCATGCAGCGCCCACGGAGACGCGACACCCGCAGTTTTGACATTTTGCGCAGACCACTGTTGCCTAGTGGACGAAACATTTCGCACGCCTTTGTTTAATGTAGTTGTAGTTATTATTCTCCATAATGGTCTATAAACTCTAGTGAAGGGCGCCGCCATCTTGACCGTCAGCACGTGTTCCCGTAGTGCTTTGCGGAGTTTGTCAAATAGACGCGACTATTTCGAAAATAGGGGGAACCAGTTTAAGTGAAAAAAGGTTTGGTGGTATTTGCAAAGGTCATTTAATGAAAGTAAAGAAACATTATAGTTATATTTTATGTTAATACTATATTAAACCTAATAAAATATACTTTACGTCACATTCGATACGCTAGCGTCTAAAATTTAATTAAAAACACCCCTCTGAAATTTAGTATGAGGTTTACATTAAACGCACTGTACGCGACCCTCAGTGTCCGCCAAGCTACCTAAAGTCATGTGTGTGTGTTTGTGAATAAACTGCATGATTTAAACACACACTATGTATCTTAGGTTATATAGACTCATTCGAGGTTCGTGTCAGCAGATTTTTGAGCCCTTGAATTCATCTGGACGGATAATGTAAGTAGCTTATGTGGTTGTTATAGCAGCCCATCTGATAACGTGTTTGATATTTGTGTGACAGACAAATATCCTCCACTGTTAACGTAATGGTTTGTGTTGACGCTGTATTTAAGTCAACACAACAATCATATAACAAAAGTTGACATAATATTAATCTGGTTTTTGATTATGGTTTCATACTACTACTGTTATGCCATTTTTCTGGACATGGTACTGTGGTAATACCATGTTTTTTTGGACATGTACCATACTAATAATATTTTGGGGTTTTTTCTCACCATCTAACATGATTATACTGTGGTGTTCTTTGACGTACCTCCTACGTATTATTATTTTTTACTGTAAGTGAAAAGTTTACAGACACATACTCATTCTATATTAATACTTTTTCCACATTTTACATTAATAGCGAAGTAATCAAATCTATGAAATAACACAAGATAAAAGGTCTTCTATTTGAGCTTCTTCAAACTAAGTCATCACCGTATGTGTCTAGAGACCAGCTTTGCACACTCTGGATGTATTTTGTTACTAAGGGACCTAATTGGTTGTTGTCTCCTGCAGTGGGGGAAATGTTGGGCTTCAGCGTCCGCTGTCAAGCAATGCCATGCGATTACAAGAGGCTGATACCAAACCAGTGGAAACCAAGACGCCATCAGCCCCTGTCAAAAGACTGAAAGAGTATGACAGAAACAGTGACACACACCTGCTTTCAAATATAGTTTTAACCCAGGGTCTCCCAAACCTTTTAGTCAGTTCTTAGGATATAAATTATCACATAAATTAACCCCAGAGATTTTAAATAATAAATGGATTGTAATACATTTTAGGATTCTTTCATGAATAAAAAGTCGAAAGAACAGCATTTATTTAAAACAGACATTTTTGTAACATTATAAATGTCTTTACTGTCAATTTTAATTCAATTTAATGCATCCATGCTCAATAAAAGTATTAATTTCTTTAAAATCCTAAACTTTTGAGTGATAGCGTATCACAGTTTCTGCAAAAAAAATTTAAATATATATATATATGTATATGTATGTGCGACCCTGGACCACTTAACCAGTCATAAGGGTCAAATTTTCAAATTTTTTCTGAATAAATAAGCTTTCCATTGATGTATGGTCTGTTAGGATAGGACAATATTTGGCCGAGATACAACTATTTGAAAATCTGGTATCTGAGGATGCAGAAAAAATCTAAATACTGAGAAAATCGCCTTTAAAGTTGTCCAAATGAAGACCTTAGCAATGCATATTACTAATCAAAAATTAAGGTTTGATCTCACATCTACTTTTAAATCGGTATATATCAGTATATTAATAAATGTCATTATTTAATTATCAGTTGTCGACTTCAACATCAATATATATATATATATATATATATATATATATATATATATATATATATATAACACACAGATTTTTATTAAAATCTATACACTTTTAATATCTATTTTATTAAACTATATACACACACATATATATATATATAGTAGCAAAAACCGTTTTTGACATTGATAGTAATAGTTATCATTTATAATAAAGTATCTGTCTACATAAAGTATTTCTCTAGAGATACTTTGTTATTGTTGTTGCTTATATTCTTTTCCCTATTTAGTCTCTTCCCTCCATTCCCGGGTGAGGAGAGCTCCCTGACCTGGAACAGCAAAAAGTTTGAAGAGCTACCGATAGCACACATAAAAGCCACATATAACAAGTAAGTTGTTTGACAAAAAATAAAATAGTTGTGATTGACAAATTAAAATGGAATTAGTTCAGATATAGTTTGATTATAGTTTTTTTGCTGTGTGCATGCAGCTATACCATACGCTTATTTCATCTCTTAACTATATTTGTCTTTTATCCATCTGTTGCGTTGGTCAAAGTGCTTTTGTTGCATGACAGGATATGTCCATCATGTCTTTTAGTTTCAATGCCCATGAGAAATTAATTTACAGTGTTTTCTTAGTGTATCTAGGGACTACAGATGTTAATAGTATATGCATTATAGGGATGTAACGGTATGAACATTTCTTATCACGATTATAGTGACCAAAATGATCACGGTTATCAGTATTATCACGGTATTGTTCAAATGTGCTGAAAATGTTCAAAAAGTACTGACACACAAATCATTTCACCAAGTTTTACATTTCAAATCAACAAAACAACAAATAAAATGAGTTTTTGTTTGCATAACTAAAACAATAACATTGCCAATGATGTCCGGATTTTAAATGACAACATGACTGACAACAGTTTATCTAATAGCATGTTCAAATATCTCATGTAAATGTTCAAAATTATAATTGATTATTAAATGATTATATGTATTTATCTGCTCCAGAAATAATACTAGATACCTTATTGTTTAAATGTGTAGAATCCACATAAGCTTGTTTTTCATCAACCGGTCAAAATTTACAGCAGGGCATGCAAATTCCCTGATGTGCGTGTATGTTTCCTCAGGTTTGAGATTATCAGCAGTGTCTTATTCAGTGTTTCAGTGTTTATACTGATAATATGCCTGGCCAGGAGAAATAGAAAAATTAAAAATAACATTTCAAATCTTCGGTTTCATGTTTATACGTCTCTTCGGTTACTTCCACGCTATTTGTTTGTAATTTCATCAGCGTGTGTCGTGAAGAGTCTAATGACAACCCTGAGTCACAGCAGGCTGTATAATACACACACATGCATGCAAATTCGGTCCGTTTTTTTATCTACACACCTTTCACTTTTTAAGACTAAAACAAAAGATGGATTCATTGTTATTCTTAATTAAATAGCATAACAACAATAAACAGTAAGATACAATGACAAACTATAGTTTGAATATATATATATATATTCAATAGCTTACAAAACGTTTATTAACAAAAACGAATAAGACGAGGCATGGCACACACCACATGCTGTATTATATACCGACTAATAAATTACAGAACGTTTAGTGTAAACTGAGGAATCAAATAAATAAAAAAGAGAGCCTCCATAGCATACCGTGAGGTAAACAGCAAAGATAACAAGCTTTTCAAAATGAAAACAAAAAGAAAAGTAAAACTAAACTTGCTGTCGGTGACAGAGCTTGCATGTTTTCTTGCGGTTTCGTTATGCTTTCAGTTTCGTTTGCCGTTTGATGATTCTCACATGCAACAGAAATGCAGAGCTTATGAGTTAAACAATGCGGTGGTCACGCCAGTGACCGCACACAAAATTAAGTTGCACCGGCAGAAAAAATTATCGCAAAATGCGCCCATTTGGTCGCACACTGGAGCCCTGTGCAGTACTGTATTTATTTATCCTCAGTTGTTCAAATCGCGGTAATCGAATACGGTTATAGTGATAATTAAAATACGAAACGGTAATACTAACCGTGGGGTATTTTATCACGATTTATCGTCAGACGTCAAGAATCGTTCCATCCCTAATGCATTATAATTATTATTTATACCTAATACTACATGTTTACATATAGCTAACTGTATTTTGTCCTTCATTTCTTGCTCAAGCACACATATCCACGTCACAGATTGTCTGGGCCAGTACATGGTCCGAACCTCGTGTGGATCAGAAGGTTTCAAGAATGTGAAGAAATCCACTCCTATTGCAGCACAGACTGCTGGGATTTCAGCCGCTGCAGTAAGATAGACAAAATATAAATCATATTGATTGTTTACTGAAATAAAATGTGTCAAGGATTGTTTAAGACATTTTGCTTAATAAAAATTAATGAATGCAGACTTATCCTAAAGTTTTGTATAGTTGTCAAAGCATAAGCCATATATGATTTCATTTGAACTGTCTAGTAGAGAGAGATATATCAGACATTTCCATCAAAAATAATTATTAATACATTTAATGGCAGGTGTGCATCTTTTTTGTGTCTGTCATTTAGATGTTGTCCACTTGATGGCAGCACATTTCTTTGTAGTAATTTACCACACCCTGTTTAATTGTTAAAGTACCCTTTTTTAGATTGTGTTTGACTGGTTTTCTGCTTTAAATTTAAAGATATGCTGAAAAATTCTGTCAGAACAGACATAAAATATAATGTTAGAAACAGGGTCGGTCAAAACATAATTGAAATATAGAGAACTTTTTTTTTTTTTGTAAACTATGACGGTCTTCTTTTGTAACGTTATAAAATGTACTTACTGTCATTTTTGATCAATTTAAGCTGAAAAGTATGAATTTCTTTCAAAATAGAAACCTTACTGACCTTAAACTTTTAGTGTATGAGATTTTCTTTCCACCCAGTTAATCATGTGCAAGGTGAAAATCGTAATGGCACACTTCTCAACACTAACTTAGAGGTTCCGTTCACAGCTTGAGGTGCACAGATGTGCAAATGAGTAAAAACAGGTTCAGGGTTGCAAACAAACAAAAGACTTGCTTGAAATTCGTAGCAAAGGTAGTCTTAATACTGTCACCCTTTCTGCCATGTTTGAGGTGTGCTTTTAACTTTTAGGCTTACTATTATGATTTGCAGCCAAAAAAGAATTAAAAATCTATTGTAGGGCCTATGCCATCTCTATTATTGAGGCTTAGAGAAGGACTTTTTTCACTTATATGGTCCATCCACCCAGAAGTCTTATGAGGTCATTCTGGTGCAACTTTACAAAACCAGCGAGGCGTGTGAAAAAAGCAAAAAGGTACTTATAAAAGCAGAGTGTAGAAATCAAAGAATAAAAAAGGAGTTATAGAAAATCAGTCCTTTTTTGTGCCAACGCATTTCTGCACACAGGCCTTCATCAGGACTAAGCAATTACAAATTAAGAAAAAAAACACCTTAATGCAAACAAAGCAAGTTAAAACTTGCAACCAATCAATAAGGAAATTAAAAGAGATGGTTTGATATCCACCAATCAAGACGCATCAGAAAACAAGCCAATAAACTCCATTGTAACCAGTATTTTGTACAGAATTAAATAAAAATTATTCATAATTTATGACACCACCCAAAACATATTTGCAACTGCGTAGGGAGGGACATCATGGTGGTGACGTTTGCACAGCCAGTCACATTTTCTTAGGAAAACATAAAAATCTAGTTGATTGTGTGATTTTAGGCCTCCTGCATTTCATCCAGTTTCTTTTCGTGATACTTTCAGTAGAATGGCAGCAGTGATTTTTTTATTATTCTCTGTATGTGCCTGTATGGTACGGCAACAGTTATGCGTGCTGACTATTCAATCAATACTCTGAAACTGACCGATGAGTTCTGTGACCTGCATGCTCTTACTCTGAGCCGGGTGGGAGGACATTAAGGCTGGGTGAGAATCTAATGAGCCCCTCCAGAGCTGCAGGCAACAGGGGGCTTTTAAGACTTGCATTACTCTTTTACCTACCCTCGGTTTATTCACAGTCAGAACAGAAGCTTCTAGACTAAGTTGCATTTAAGCAGATGGTGGTTGGGCATAAATAAATCAATGCAAAGCCACCAACTGCAGCGCTAACTTATTTGAATCAAATTACTAAATGGGAAAGCCAGGGTAAATACTTGTGCTTAGATTTGGATAGTTAGGTAGAAGCTGGATAGGAATCAGGGATGCACTGATTTTACAGTTCTGGCCAGTAATTATGTTCATGTTGTGGCTGGTAAATGGCAGGTAATATTCTAGACTTTTCTATTTAATTATCTGTATAATTAAATTAAAATCAATCATTTTAAATGCTACCAGTGAATTAAGGCATCATAACATTTTTTTTTTTTTCAAATATACGTGAGTCAGGTTAACCTCAGGTCATCTAGGATATAGATGAGTTAGATTTTTTTTATCAGAACGGATTTAGAGAAATGTAGCATTACATCACTTGCTCACCGATGGATCATCTGCAGTGAATGGGTGCCGTCAGAATGAGAGTCCAAATAGCTGATAAAAACATCATAATAATCCACACCACTCCAGTCCATCAATTATTGTCTTAAGTGAAAAGTTGCGTGTTTGTAAGAAACAAATCCATCACTAAGATGTTTTAACTTTAAACCATTACTTCTGGCCAAAATACCCATCTATAGTCCATAATAATACCAAAAGAAATCTGCAGACATATTTGTTTAGAACTGTTTTAGACTGTTTTGGATTGTAAATGGTGCTTGATCTGTGCATATTTCTCTCCTGGTTCAGACTTGACTTTTTTACAGGAGAAGGCAATATTACATATATAGAGGGCATGTATTGTAGCCGGAAACAACCGTTTAAAATGCCTAAAAAAATCATGGATTTGTTTTTTACAAACATGCATCTTTTCACTTCACAAGATGTTAATTGATGGACTGGAGTGGTGTGGATTACTGTGATGTTTTTATCAACTGTTTGGACACTCATTCTGACGGCACCCATTCACTGCAGAGGATCCACTGGTGATCTGTTCCGAAGGACAAACAAAATCTTGGATGCCTAAATTTTCAACAAATTTAAATTCTTGATTGAATTATTCCTATATATTAAACTTTAAGTGAGCATTAGATGACAGCATAGATCAAAAAAAATTAAAAACCTGTTATATCCTCAGAATATAGTGCAGATATATTGTGCACCCCTACTAAAAATATTACACACATTTTATTTTTGTCCAAATCAGCATCTTTAACAAGTATATAATGTTGAAGAGTATTAGGACTCATTGAATCATTTTGTCATTGGAGTCACACGTCTCTTGTAAAGAGAGTGTATTGTTGTGAACTGTATCTCGTAGCTGACTTGGCCTACATTGATTTTGCTCCCCTGTGTGTAGTCTGCCATTAAAGGGTTAACCATGGGAGGACTAGAGGTTGTTTCCATCACCGACAACACCCCAGTGCCACACAATGGCTGTCGCCCTCGCAAAGCACGAAGGATGTGAGGAGGAAGAAACCCCATGAACCCAGAAGTCTTGTTTGTCTCTCTCTCTCTGTATTATCATCGACCATCCAGTCTGAATATAGAGGTTGAATGCTCAATTATTCAGGTCAATGCTGTTCGAGAGTAATGCTTTTTTTCCTTTTTCACAACAGCAGTGCTATGTATGTTATTTACCTTTTTGATAATTATTAAAGTGTGAAGGTGTCACTCATCATGTCTGTTTTCGTTCTTATTAGTGCATGTACAGCTTTCAGCTACGCATGGCTGCGTAATTTAAAATGCAACCTTGGGATTCAAAATCTAAATTAAACCTAGAAATAAACAATGTGACAATGATCATGCTGTATAACACGGATCATCAGGTTTTGAACTTGTGGAGTTCATGCAGCTTGATCGTTGCTGTTATAAAAGTACAAGGGGAACAAAATAAATAAAATTATTTTTAACTCAACTTTTCACTTATTGTTATTCTGGTTTTGTATTTAAAAAAAAAAGTAGAAGCATTTTCACTTGCGGTGTCAGACTTTAGGATCCAACTACATTTTTCTGATGAATTTAGTTGTAAAAACCGAAACATATGACAGGCTGTTACAGTGGCTGTTTGTTTCAGGAAATTGCACAAAATTATTACCCTGTGCTCTCGAACATATGCATTTTTTTCCCTTTTTAATAAACATTATTGTTCGATATGTTAGCACTTAATCGGAGTTCATTTCCAAGTTGACAGGCACAGGGTGGAATAGCTCCCTATAAATAAATGGACCCTTGTAAGATTATTGCCCTTTCCTACCATTACATCAGGTGCTTCGTTGCTATGACAACGGCAATTAGCAGGAACTCGGGCAGGCGGTTGAATACAAGTCTGTCCCTAGTACCCATAGCAACCAAGGTCAGGCCTGCAACGCACATCTGTTTTTATACTAGCTTTAGTGCGCGCTACTGCTCAAGGACTGAAAAAAAAGACATAAATGACAATAGCAAATTATTCCCAGACATGTTCATGTCCATGTATAAGCTTGCTGGATGTCTGACGATTTGTGCGACCCTGTCAGATTTTGCTACCTCCCATTAAAACAGATGGTAGCATAATTCGATAGCGAAGAGTGCTACCTATCAGATTTTGCTTCCAGCATGACATTAATAAGGTGTGAGGCTTTATTAACATGTACATGTACACCTACCCCAACCCTAAACCTACCCTTACAGTAGGATACATACACTGTTGGTAGCATAATCTGATAGGTAGCATTATTTGTCAGAACACCTGTTTGGTGCTTTGTGCAGGAACTGTTTTTCTGTGGCTCTCCAGCAACAGCTGTCCCTTTCCCAGTCTCCTTTCACACCGAGCATCAGAGCCACCACGAAACACGTCTCACCAGCGACAAAGCGTGACTTCTACCAACGTTTAACCCAGATGGCCGAGCATCTCAGATGTCCTCAGATAGCCTGCCTGTGCATCCGGTGGAGGAGGCTCTGACATGGAACCTGAGTATCCCTGCTGGGATTGATTTTGTGGTCAGTGATTAGAAACCCGAGCCAACAAGGTTGATTGAATATAGAGTTAAATGGTTCGCCTGCAATATGTGTGATTTTTTTATATGAGAAAGCATCCCTGGTCTTTGCCGAAGTGATGTGTTAAAACATTTTTTTTTACATCTCAATCAATTGGGAAGTATTTGTTATGTGTTCCAATTGGATTGTGTTATTTAAAGGATTTAAGTCAAGACACATTTATTTATATAGCACGTTATACAATACAGATTGTTTCAAAGCAGCTTCACTGTAATAAACCGGAAAATAACAGTATTAAAGGGATAGTTCACCCAAAAAAAATGAAAATTCTGTCATCGTTTACTCACCCTCATGTCGTTCCAAACCTGTATGAGTTGCTTTCTTATGTTGAACACAAAAGAAGATATTTTGAAGATTGCTGGTAGTCAAACAGTTGGTGGTTGCCATTGACTTCCATAGTATTTTTTTTCCCTACTTTTCATTTTTGGGTGAACTATCCCTTTAAGGTCCGTTCACACCAAGAACTATAACTAGCCTACAACATGTCCAGCAA